GCTCCAAGCCAGCCTTGCCCTGACTGCTTTGCTTTCTGCACTCCCAGTGCTCCAAGCCAGCCTTGCCCTGACTGCTTTCCTTTCTGCACTCCCAGTGCTCCAAGCCAGCCTTGCCCTGACTGCTTTCCTTTCTGCACTCCCAGTGCTCCAAGCCAGCCTTGCCCTGACTGCTTCCTTTCTGCACTCCAAGTGCCTAGTCTCCTTGACTATCTGGAGAGAACAGCCTCTCTCTCCTACCTGCTTCCTAGGAGGAAGCCAGCAATCCCTCTCCTTTACCTGCCAAGCAGGGAGGAGTTTATTCCCACTGCAATAGCTCATTAACTGCAGCTGAGCAGTGGGTTGGAGATGATCCAAAAAACCCTGGCCTGGATCTATGTCTCCCCAGAACACCACTAAACTGTGGAGTGGAGCATTGGCCCACCCTTCTCTCCAAATGCTCCACCCCAGGGGCCCATAACTAAACAAAGCTTTGGGTTGTGCAACACACAAGCTACACGTACTTCCCCTGGGGTTAAAAGGCATATCTGCCTTCACTTTATCACATATCCTCCTCCCCAGCTCAGACCCATCGGGTCGAGCGGCCTTAGAACACAAACCGTGAACATTCATAACACCTAGGGCTCTACCAGCCCTGACTAGCTTCACAGTTATAGGAAGTGGCCTATTGTGAATGGCGGCTACCTTGCTCCCTTGTAGTTTAAGGAGCCCCCACCCAATAGGATAACCCAAATAGTTAAGAGTGTTAGCGGTCAAACCGGCAGCCTTTACATTATTCACAACTAACCGGCCCTTCATCAGGTGTGCTACCCAGTCCACCCTGTTAAACACCACATCAAGGTAGGCAGCTGCATACTCTGGCTGGAACAGAACACTTTTCATCAGAGTAACCTCACTCCCTGAATCTGTCAGTGCTTGTGCACTCTTCCCTACCACCATCACGACTTTTAGCTGTGCTGTAACACCACCACCAGTCACCATACACATCTTTAAGCAAGTCAATACTATCCTATGCAGAGCCCTTATTCCTATGTCACATTGTATTGGCTCTTCACTCTCAGGACAGTTATATGCAATATGTCCTTGTATGTGGCAGTTGAAGCATCGGAGTTCTTTCTCAGTCTGGTCTCGTATGGAGCGCTGTTCTTGTGCCGGAGGCCCAGACTCCCGGCGTAGCTCATCTTTCCTTTGCCTGGTTTCCTCTGCTTGCTCAGCCTTGAGTGGCCACCTCTCAATGTCAGCAATGCTTTCCTCTGGGCTGTCTGGCGGTCTCCCTGTTCCCTTGGGGGTGTCCAGAGACGCAGTCATGGCCTCTCGCTGGATCATGACAGCCCCGGTATCAAACAGCCGGTTAGGCAGTCCGAGTCCCGCCTTTAATTCTATGACTGTGTTCCCAGAATCTGGCAGCTGTTCCAGGTAGTCAGTGTGCCCAGGCCTTGTAGCAGTAGTCTTTGCCAGCAGTTCCAGTTCTATGGCTCCCGAACAATCATTCAAAGTCTTTGTAGCTATACCAGGTGTCTCTGAAATATTTAATTCTGCTATGCCAATGTCACCTACTTTGTGACGTTCGCCTTGATCTGGCTTAGCTGCGGACGTGCCTATCTTATCATCACAGCTTGATTCTGTAACTGTCGCTTTCTCTTGGCTTAGATCAGAAGCGGCTACTTTGCCTTTCTTGTTTTGACTTCGTTTTGCCACTACTTCTCTGCCTTGCTTTTCTCTGTCAAACTGTTCAACAGCTGGTCGACATTTTTGGGTAGCCTCTGCTACTAAACAGTGCACAGCATTTTTTAGCTCAACTGGGGTGCTTTGCTTCTCTCCATTTTGCTCAGCTCCTCTGCTGTTGTCTTCTCTGACTCCCCAAGTCAGTCTGCTTTTCATGCCTTTGACTTGTTCACTTGGGTGTACATCAGGGGCTTCTGCTTCATTTTTCTTTCCCTGGCTGTATTCACTAGCTTTACTTGTCTCATTCTTTATAGCATAAACCGACTTGACACTGCTGGCCTCAGTCACAGTCATTCTTTCTCCTGCGTGTTTCTCAACATCACGCTTTGCTGCCTCCATGCTTTTCAGCTTGCTAAAGACTTCCTCTACTGCCTCTGTCACCTTATGCAGGATGTCAGTAGCTTGGTTACTGGGTCCCTTGTCCCCACGCTCCCTGCAGGGGGCAATCTGCAAAACCTCAGTAAGGGCAGCTCTATGCTCCTGCTGAGCGTCCCTCAGGTTCTTAACCTGTGCAGCCAGGAAACTGTTTGTGCCTTGTTGTTTAGCGGTTGCCTGTACCACAGCTCTCAGCAGGTCCTCCATTATAGCACCAAGCAGGTAACTGTCTTAAAGGTACAGTGCTACCTGTTTGCTTAACAGGTCTGCAAAAATAAAAGTCCACAAGCAGACTACCGAATGACTAGCACACCCACAGACCCTCACTGTGCTACTTTGCCCGCATTCTCCACCATATTGTGATCCTTGTTTGTAGGTAGCACGGTCCTCTAGGGCAAAAACATGCACAGTCCTTGTAAATGCATATACTCCAGGCACTTTATTTTTTAGCCACACAGGATACAGCAGTAAATGAAAAACATAAATGTAACACAAAACCCTATAAACAAAAACCTAGCTCGGTCTGAGCACTAACTCACTTTAGGTTCCCTATCTCTCAGGGTTAAACTAAACAAAACAATATTGCACCAAGCTTATTAGAGAGCAACACTCTGCTAGCTAGCCTGTTGCTTTCCTTTCTGCACTCCCAGTGCTCCAAGCCAGCCTTGCCCTGACTGCTTTGCTTTCTGCACTCCCAGTGCTCCAAGCCAGCCTTGCCCTGACTGCTTTCCTTTCTGCACTCCCAGTGCTCCAAGCCAGCCTTGCCCTGACTGCTTCCTTTCTGCACTCCAAGTGCCTAGTCTCCTTGACTATCTGGAGAGAACAGCCTCTCTCTCCTACCTGCTTCCTGGGAGGAAGCCAGCAATCCCTGTCCTTTACCTGCCTAGCAGGGAGGAGTTTATTCCCACTGCAATAGCTCATTAAAGGACCACTCTAGGCACCCAGACCACTTCAGCTTAATGAAGTGGTCTGGGTGCCAGGTCCTTCTAGGGTTAACCCATTTTTTCATAATTATAGCAGTTTCAGAGAAACTGCTATAATTATGAATGGGTTAAGCCTTCCCCCTAATCCTCTAGTGGCTGTCTCATTGACAGCCACTAGAGGCGCTTGCGTGCTTCTCACTGTGATTTTCACAGTGAGAGCACGCAGCGTCCATAGGAAAGCATTGTAAATGCTTTCCTATGAGACAACTGAATCTTGTGGCGCAGCTCTTGCCGCAGCGTCGCATTCAGGCCGGCGTAACGGGAGGCGGAAGGAGGAGGAGGCTCTCCGCCCAGCGGCTGGAAAAAGGTAAGTTTTTACCCCTTTCCCCCTTCCAGAGCCGGGCGGGAGGGGGACCCTGAGGGTGGGGGCACCCTCAGGGCACTATAGTGCCAGGAAAACGAGTATGTTTTCCTGGCACTATAGTGGTCCTTTAACTGCAGCTGAGCAGTGGGTTGGAGATGATCCAAAAAACCCTGGCCTGGATCTATGTCTCCCCAGAACACCACTAAACTGTGGAGTGGAGCATTGGCCCACCCTTCTCTCCAAATGCTCCACCCCAGGGGCCCATAACTAAACAAAGCTTTGGGTTGTGCAACACACAAGCTACACGTACTTCCCCTGGGGTTAAAAGGCATATCTGCCTTCACTTTATCACAGTGTGTAGTGAATGCAGAGTGTGTTGCCCAATAACTCCAGCGCGTTACCAGCTACAAGCATCCCAGAGGCCCCTGGCACACTCATACCTAAAGGGGTGAAACCACTTGAAATAAGAATGGGTCTAGGGGCCTCCTGGCACCATTTTGATTAAGTTTTTATGGTGCCTTGAGTGTTCCTTTAATAGCAACCATGTGTACAGTGTAATGCCATACACTTTAACTGGCCAATCATAGAGTAAAGTACGCTCACGGAGATCCCTTACAGGCACATTATGGTTAGAAACAGCTTACAAACCATATGTTTTGTGTGTTTTACCAATAAGCAACACATCTACAAGTGGTTGGTATCACTGCAAGCAGACATTACTAATGGACAGCCAGAAAAAAATTGCAACAAGTTTTTAATACGGTTATTAATTAGTAGCTGCTACTAACTACCTGCCTTTAATAGTGACAGATTATAGTAACTAAACTCAAGAGGCAGCAATTAATCAGAGCACCTGTCTAGCAAAGACTTTTCATTGAGCTGTTTTGGGAAGTCTATGATTGGACAGCCCAGAAAGTCTGGGCGGGCTTAGAAGGGGAGGGCTTCCATAGGCAGTGGACAGAGAACTGTAGATTTTGCAAACTGTTTTTAGATATATCCCCAATGAAAAAATGCATGATAAAATATATGCAATTTTTAATTTGGGGTATATATAACAGTGATTTTTAATGAATTTTGTATTCGGGCAGGGGATGTCCTTTTAAGGTATCTGATGAGGTCACAGCATTGTGGTGATGTCATTGACAGTTTAGGCTATATATATCTGCTGCACAGGACCTACCTTAACAGTTATTACTGTATAACCATGGCAGAGGAATTTGCAAGAGAGAAGAAGCAGATGTTTCCAGCTCTTTCGAGAGAAACAACACATGGCAAGGTGAATGGGGGTTATGTACTCGCTAAATCCATGCACCCCCTGCCCATTTGACCTTCTAACCCAGTTCCTTTCCTTCTTATGCCCAATGTATGGCGATAAGGTCCATATGGACCCCCCATATAAGTATACTAATTTTGGTGACTAATTTGATGCCTCATCATCAGAAAACATAAAATGGAATGTGAATAGTCATAGAAGAGATTACTTTACCGATATATGCATGCATAAAATCGTTATAAATGATTCTCTGTTTTAGGCATCTTCCATTAGAGCCAAGCCAACAAAGAGAAATACGTCTTCGGGGATCAAACTCCCACCATGTCCTAATAATCGGATTCCGATGCTAACCGCAAATCCCTCGGAAAAGGTATACGCTACAATTTAAATCCATAGTCTGATTCATATTAGGAAGGGAACATTTTACAGACACAGGCTGTAAACCTGAGATTTTTTTTTACATTGTCATTTTCTTGATATATATATATTTTTTTAGTTTATTGTGGATGTCATTCTCCAACAAAGTATAAATTATAAAAAAAAAAATCACATTAATATGTACATATTACATATGTTCTGTAATCTACATTAACTGAATTTCTATTTGTTTAGGTGGATTTCATTAGAGCACCCCCAGCAGAACGATTTGTGGATGTTCCTTCTGGAGTGAAATTTCCAGTGTGTCCTAAACAACCTGTCCAGTTCTGTACCACCAAGCTCTCGGAAAAGGTATTTAATACTAATCCAGACTAGTAAGCAGATATTTTCAAGACAATTGAAATAGGGCTACGGATTGATATGAAGGGTTGTATATTTAATGCCAAGCCATGGAATGATTAATTAAAGTAAGCATTAAAAGATTTTATAAATTAGTATCTCACATCAATCATTAGTTCTATTGTAGATTATTAACTCTTCTACTATATAACAAAATAGCTGAAGTGGATAAGCATTAGTCTACTATGTTTAACCTACTATGTTTAACCTTTCAAACAATCCCCAATTATTTCATATATTGGTTGTTTTATGCTAATGAGTGTTCTTCAGAATAGGTTTACAGAATGAGTGCACAAATGTTTTGTTATAATGTTTTTGCAGCTTTATAAGCCAAGTCCATCATTTGACCTTGAGGATCCATATTGTCGTTTGATGAGGACAACCTACAATAACCTGCATGACCCATACTTAAAAGAATATTACCAGAGTAAAGTACCCCGACAACGGATACGTCAGCAGGGATTTATCACCAGTGATGATAAGGTAGGATAAAAAAACAAAAACAAGCAACATGCCACTACCATTTAATTTTACACTAACATATTGCATACATAAATTTAACTGAATGACATTGAATTAAAAGATTATGTCTTGTTTAGGTTGTTTGCTCTTTAAAAGAGTACAACGAGTACAGGGAGTACCTCTCAAGCATACATAGAAAGAAAATGAAAAATGTAAGTTGGATTAAGATTTATAGTAAAAACAGTCAACATAGTAGACAAAGTGTAATTTTCAGTGGGATGATATTTAGCTACTCAAATTAAAAACAATTTTAAAAAGATGAAAAATTAATAATAATCTGTTTGTTTTTTAGAAGTTAGAGAAACAAGGTAGACAAAATTCGTCTTCTAACCAATGATGCTACCAAGATTGTTAGAAAACGTACTTCTTAATAAAAGTTCATTACTACTTGACAATTTTGCCACATGTGATTTCATGCAAAACAGTTCAAACATATGAAAATATGTCATCATACGAACATGTGGGTTAAAATATGAAATTTTATTTAAAGAAAAACTCTAGCACTATAACAATTTTGTCTAATTGAATTGGTTGTAGCGTCTGCAATCCACGGCACCTGTTCCATGGTTAATGTTAAATCACGAATAGTTTAACACCTAATGAGGGGCCTACTGCACATCCCTTGCTTGGAGTAGTTACACTCCACATGAGCTATACCAGTGTATAGCAGCAATAGATGTCTGTGATACTCTGAGAGCCAGCAGGTGGCGTTCCAATCACTGCCAACTATTGCTGCTTGAACTAATGTTTAAGTATGAGTCTAAACAGTAGAGGGGGGCTGGACAGCGGGCGTCCAGGGACCTTCATTCAGTGTTTAACAAATTGAAAATGATTCCGCGCCCAGGTACTCCAGTGTTACTTTAACAAACAATATAAAAAACTAGAAAAGCTACAATTTCTGGGGAAATTGTGTGAAGTGTTCTTGCCTCCACCAGTAGTCTACAACTGGAGTGGGCGGAGTAACTGTTATCATTTATATAGCACATTTAATTGCAACGTTGTTGCACAGTTACATTAAACCATACATTTATAAAAACATTAGCAGGTGTTCAAAAGGCTCTGTCTATGACATCACTTGCTGCTGCAGCCTGGCACAGGCCAGAGTATTTTGGCGGTTGCCATCTTCAAACGATCGTATTTTAAAAACTATACATCCTATGCAAGAACACTTAATTAAAGCCAAGAAGCAACGAGAGAGCATAATCAATAATATTCAGAGAAAAAGAAGAAAATAAAAACTGGAAAAAAAGATACAGCTGCTTTAACTCACATTTTTAGGAATACATTCCCACAAACCTTTATCTAATTAATATCACATGAACACGCATGCAGTGTTAGATTCAATTCATAAAAACTCCCTGTGACTTTAGAAACCAGTTTATTGTTTATTCCTGAATACCTATTTTTACATTATTTTTTTTTTATACCGCTTGCAGCACATCAGCCATCTTCCCCTTTCCCTCACATATACACATGGAACTGAGGTATATTGCTCTAAGGTAGAAAGTTCCATGGTCATCTCCTTCCCCTCACCTACCGTTTTCCCCCGAAAATAAGACATCCCCTGAAAATAATCCCTAGCTTATATTCAGGGGATGCTCGTAATATAAGCCCTAGTTGAAAACAAGCCCTAGTTGACATCTTCGTTAGTTCGCTAATTCACTAATCTATGTTCACTAAAAAATGGGATTATTTAAAAGTTGCACTACTGAAGGCAACAGAAAATTGCATTAGGCTTGTCAGTAAAAGCAAAATAATCAAGAAACCACTGTGGTACTCCGCAGATGTGGCCAAAATAGTAAAAAACAAAAAGTTAGCATTTAGTAATTATAAAAAAACCCAGAGTGAGGAAGACAGAATGATCTATACGATTAGGCAGAAAGAGGCTAAGCAAGTTATAAGAGCTTCCAAATCACACACAGAAGAGAAAATAGCACAGTCAGTAAAAAAAGGGGACAAAACATGTTTTTAGATACATAAATGAGAAAAGAAAAGTAAAACAAGGATTAGTTAGATTAAAAACAAAAGAAGGAAGTTATGTAGAAGAGGATAAAGGTCTAGCAGACTTCCTCAATTAATATTTTTGTTCGGTATTTACAGATGAAAATGAAGGAAAGGGACCTCAGTTAAGAAAAAGGATAAATGAGTCATTTATTACACGTGAGTTTACAGAGGAAGAGGTTGTATTTCAACTGTCAAATGTAAAGACAAATAAGTCAATGGGACCTGATGGAATACACCCAAAGCTATTAAAAGAGCTTAGTGGTGTACTAGCAAAACCATTAACAGATTTATTTAACCAATCATTGTTAACAGGAGTAGTCCCAGAAGACTGGAAGTTAGCGAATGTTGTGCCCATTCACAAGAAAGGTAATAGGGAGGAGTCGGGCAACTATAGGCCAGTAAGCCTTACTTCAGTAGTAGGGAAAGTGATGGAAACCATGTTAAAGGATAGGATTGTTGAACATCTAAAAACGCATGGATTTCAAGATCAGAGACAACATGGGTTTACTTCAGGGAGATCATGCCAAACTAATCTTATTGATTTTTTTTGATTGGGTAACTAAAATTATAGATCAGGGTGGTGCAGTAGACATTGCTTACCTAGATTTCAGTAAGACTTTTGACACTGTTGCACATAGAAGGCTTATCAATAAACTGCAATCTTTAAGTTTGGATTCCAATATTGTTGAATGAGTATGGCAGTGGCTGAGTGACAGGCAACAGAGGGTTGTAGTCAATGGAGTATATTCGAAGCTTGGGCTTGTCACCAGTGGGGTACCTCAGGGATCTGTACTTGGACCCATTCTCTTTAATATTTTTATTAGAGTTATTGCAGAAGGTCTTGATGGTAATGTATGTCTTTTTGCTGATGATACTAAGATATGTAACAGGGTTGATGTTCCAGGAGGGATAAGCCAAATGGCAAATGATTTAGGTAAACTAGAAAAATGGTCAGAGTTATGGCAACTGACATTTAATGTGGATAAGTGCAAGATAATGCATCTTGGACGTAAAAACCCAAGGGCAGAGTACAGAATATTTGATAGAGTCCTAACCTCAACATCTGAGGAAAGGGATTTAGGGGTGATTATTTCTGATGACTTAAAGGTAGGCAGACAATGTAATAGAGCAGCAGGAAATGCTAGCAGAATGCTTGGTTGTATAGGGAGAGGTATTAGCAGTAGAAAGAGGGAAGTGCTCATGCCATTGTACAGAACACTGGTGAGACCTCACTTGGAGTATTGTACACAGTACTGGAGACCGTATCTTCAGAAGGATATTGATACCTTAGAGAGGGTTCAGAGAAGGGCTACTAAACTGGTTCATGGATTGCGGGATAAAACTTACCAGGAAAGGTTAAAGGATCTTAACATGTATAGCTTGGAGGAAAGACGAGACAGGGGGGATATGATAGAAACATTTAAATACATAAAGGGAATCAACACAGTAAAGGAGGAGACTATATTTAAAAGAAGAAAAACTACCACAACAAGAGGACATAGTCTTAAATTAGAGGGACAAAGGTTTAAAAATAATATCAGGAAGTATTACTTTACTGAGAGGGTAGTGGATGCATGGAATAGCCTTCCAGCTGAAGTGGTAGAGGTTAACACAGTAAAGGAGTTTAAGCATGCGTGAGATAGGCATAAGGCTATCCTAACTATAAGATAAGGCCAGGGACTAATGAAAGTATTTAGAAAATTGGGCAGACTAGATGGGCCGAATGGTTCTTATATGCCGTCACATTCTATGTTTCAATGTTAGGGGAATTTTCCCTCGAACATAGATTTGTAGGATTCCATGCGCTAATTCGCTAATCTATGTTCAGGGAAGTTTCCCCGAACATAGATTTGCGGGATTCTATGCCCCTAGTGAACTGGTCTGTGTTCGGGGGAATTCCCCTGAACGTATACCTGCTGTCTTGCACATGCTTGCTACCGTTTTTCCCAGAAAATTAAGACATCCCCTAAATATAAGCCCTAGTGCCTTTCTTGAAGCAAAAATTAATTCAAGACCCAATCTTATTTTCGGGGGAAAATGGTATCTCCGGGCTATGTAACAGAGATAAATAGGTTTGCCTTACATATATGGGGATCATGTTCCCCATCATTCATGCAAGCTGTGTGTAGGGCTTACAAGATAACTAGAACAACAGGGAAAACTCTTAAGGAAACGTTAGTAGCTTCCAGGAGGATGTTCATAGACAAAAATGGAATCATGGAGGATGTTACATGGACAATTGGTGCTACAGGGTGTCCTATGATTTTATCATACCGAGAAAATATGGGGATCTATTCAATAAATTGACATGTCTCTCTACATTTGCCTTACGCACAGTGGGTTGCAAACTTGATAAACACCCTGTAGGGTCGAAACGTTGCTGTTTTTTCCCTAATAAAGCTGCTATTTCTGTTAACCTCGGAGTGCCTGAACAGTTATTTATTCTGCATATCTTGGAAGGGAGGCCTGGCCAGCCCTGGCTTCAGAGCACCTGGGTTACTTGGTAAATGCGGTATCCAGTACGTCTCTACTGTTGTTAGTACATGGGCATTAGTTTAATGTATTTGGATAAGCCTTTTAAATAATTAAATATTTAAAAAAAAAAAAATTATATTTATATATATATATTTTTTTTATATGTGATAAATGCATTCATATTTTACCATTTAAAAAATGTATATAATTTTAAATCATTTGAAAAGCTTATCCAAAATTTTTATATTGAGGCCATAGTAAGCAGGAGTGTGTATTACATGTCATATTTACATATTTATTATTGGATGCTTTCTTTATAACTAATTTTAATGAATCTCACAAATCTGTTTATTGACCTTGTCAGACTAGTTGGGATAGTCTGTAAAAATATTTTAACATTTACCAAACTGTTTTCTAACCTCAACTTGGCTGGTCTGACTTATCAGAGCTCTGAAATCCTGAGCTTAGATGGTCTCATTATTTGGTTAGTTAGTCATACCTTGTGGTGTCTTTCTTTCATGTTACACCCAGCAATTCTAAAATCTGGTAATTCTTCTTTCTATCTGTTTTGTCTACATCTGCAGGTAGGGATTCACAAACTTAACTGGTTTCCTGACAGAGCTCAGATTTCTTGGTATTGCTGTGTCTATTAAATGACCACTCCACACAGCCCAAAAGCACTTCAGCTTGCTGACACCCCTGGCTGAGGTATGCAGCCTCCTTCCATTAGCTCCTCTGAGCTAATAGAAGTGGCAGGAATGCTCTACTTGAGCGTGCCTGCTTCCTTCTAACCACACAGACCTCAGACCAGCTCCACAAACCTCAGACCAGATGTGCGCAAGCACACACATGCAACGGTGCTTGTATGTGCACGAGCCAGCACTCACGTGCACTTGTGCACCACTTGAAAGGTATCTCAGTGAGAAGTCTCTGATTGATTGGTTATTTCCCCATGAAGAGACTGAAAGTCTCTTCCAGGAAAAAAGCGGAGAGATCGCTAAGGCTGCAATTTTGCAAGATATGCACCCAATAAATACATGCATGGCAAATTCATGCATGTATACCTACTAGACAGTGATTTTTTTTTTGTCTTTGCCTATTTGGGCATGGAGTGTTCCTTTAAAGCATAAACTTTTATTACCTTGTTTCAATCACCAGAGACACTACATGTAACTTACTAGATACTTAGGGCACTGGGTAGGGTATGGGAAGCAGTGGCAGGAGCCAGGTAAGATAGAGGCAGTAGTGAATTGGACCACCTACCATATCAAGACACAAATTATGGCTTTCTTGGGGACAGCTAGTTCTTACAAAAGTTTTGTTCCTGTTTATAGTGCTATCGCTAAGTCACTGACTGACTTAACAAGGAAAACCCTCCTCAGGTAGGTCCTGTGGTCTCCCGAATGCGAGAAATCCTTCGAGTCTCTGAAAAACTCCTTAAACATTACCCCCACCCTGGCCGACTCGGATCCTAACAAACATTTCAATGTCCATGTGGAACTAGTGTACTGAACAGGGAAATACATAAATCTGCATCCTACTCAACATCACAAGTGTCTGAAGATCTCCTTTAAATGTAATTGCTGGAAATATTATTATTATTGTTATTTATATAGTGCCTACTTATTCTGCAGCGCTTTCAAATATTATAAAAGAGGGATATTCAACAAGAAATGTTACAGGAACAATAGGTTGATGAGGACCCTGTTCTGAGGTGGTGGGATATAAACACACAATAGGAAGGGCATCAAGGAGACAGCAAACAAGGTGGGAATTTAGCAGAACTGGAGGTGAGAATGTGGCCATTTTAGAAAGAGCAAGAGACAGGTTTGTAAACAGAAGTTACTATGGGAGGCCGTAAGCTTCTCTGAAAAGATATATTTTGAGGGACTTCTTAAACAATTCACTAGGGGATAGTCAAATGGGGGTAGGCAGGCTGTTCCAAAGGAAAGGAGCCACATGCGAGAAGTCCTGCACGCACGAATTAGCAGTCAGGATGCGAGCAGTGGACAGGAGAAGGTCACCAGCAGAGCGGAGAGACAGAGAATAGGCATACCTACGAATCAATGAAGAAAGATAACAGTGGCTAGAGCATATGACACATCATGAATGTCAAGGTCAGACTATACACCCACACATAAGGCTAACAATTTCACTTCCCACACAGACTTGTATCTTGTCTCATTTCATAGGCAGTCCATACTTTCATCCATGTGCTCATAATGGACTATTTAACTATAGCATGGATAATCAACCTGGCCCCTACGGACCACTAGTGGGCAGTTTAGGATTTCAAGTGGGCGGTTGTGGGCTCTGCAAAAAAATTGTCCAGTGGGCCCGGTGGCCGTGGACCAAGGCCAGCAGGGAAGATCATTTCATCTCCACTGCCTGCCCATACAGAGCCAGCCTTGCTGTAAGCCCTCTCGGGAAGGTGAGGAGATCAAAGATTTCCCTCACCGGCCCACTGGCACTTCCAGCAGAGGGAGAGAAGGACCTGGGAGGCTCTATGTTTCTCCCGCGAGCAGGCTGGTCAGAATATTGCCCCGCGTTACAATTCACACACGCACCTTTCACACACACATTACCCTTCACACACACACACACACACACACACACCACCCTTCACACACTGCACCCTTCACACACTGCACCCCTCACACACAAACACACACAGTATCCTTCACATACGCACAACAACCTTCACACACACGCACACAACACCCTTCACACACTGCACTCCACACACACTACACCCTTCACACACACAGCACCCCTCTCTCACACACACATAGAAAACAAAGTAGAATAGAAAAAAAGGGAAACTAAATAGATACATTTAAGTTTTCTGTTTTTTGTTGTTTTTTTTAAACCCACCATTCTAAAAAAAAAAAAAAAAATTAAAATTTCATTTGCGCTAGAAAATTAGTTCCTGCGGCACTTGTGGGCGGTAAGGAAATGTTACCATCAACAAAGATACAAAAGTGGGTGGTAGCTATTAAAAGGTTGACCACCCCTGATCTATAGACTAATTGTTGACCTTATCAATGATGATTCATTTGCACACGTTATGGCAGATATAAGAAGCAGTAATGTAGGGACATATCATTTCTTATGTACCGAACTATAAAAAGGCCCATCGGAAGAAATATACAGACCTGAAAGAGACACTATAGTCACCTGAACAACTTCAGCTTAATGAGGTTGTTCAGGTGAGAACTATAGCTCCCTGCATCCTTTCTCATGTAAACACTGTATTTTCTGAGAAAATACAGTGTTTACATTGAAAGCTAGGAACACCTCCATTTGCAGTCACTCAGAGTGAACCAGAGGGACATTGGAGTTGATGGAGGTATAATATGCCTCCATCCACTCAGATCTGCTGTCAGCAGAGCACAGGGCAGCACTGTGCACAGCATCCTGTGATTTAGTATCTCTTCCCTCTGCATGCAGACACTGAACTTTCCTCATAGAGATAAATTGATTCAATTCATCTCTATGAGGAGATGCTGATTGGCCAGGGCTGTGTTTGAATCATGATGGCTCTGCCCCTGATCTGCCTCTTTGTCAGCCTCAGTCAATCCTATGGGGAAGCATTGTGATTGGATCAGGCTACCACATATCAGCAGACTGCTTGTTTTTCTGAGTCTAACAGCATCCAGATTTACAGCTTCTTGCTTGAATACAGTAAGATTTTTACTATATTTATGGAGGCACGAGGGGCCCAGGGGGGCTAGATGGTGGTGTTAACACTATAGGGTCAGGAATACATGTTTGTGTTCCTGACCCTATAGTGATCCTTTAATGTTTCTATACCACAAGCTCACGCCAGGTATCCTCATCATCAGAACAAACACTAATAAACCATACTAAAAAAACTTAGGGACACTTTCCTGAGCCAATAGTCAAAACTTTCCAAGCCCACTTCTTCAGATGAGCTAGTACCAGAAGGTTTCTGATGGTCAGGAATTGAGTGGATCCAAGATATAAATCAACCTCTAAGAACAGACATAGAAGAGGCATATTTCTGGACCTTAGAATGGCCAAGCTTAACACTTAGTATAGAATTAGAAAATAGCAGAGCTAGTGCTGAATACTAGGCCAGATAAACTAACCAAGCATAACCAAGCCAGAATACATAGAAACCAAAAAATGAGAAGCATTTGATTTGAAAATGGACAGCATTAACAAGGAGATTTGTGCTGGGCAACATGGAGGTGGGCCTTCCTTATTTGAATAAGTCAGTCCAGCTTTTGTTGGTT